GGGCAGGGGGCGGCCCGGGGCCGGTGGGACGGCCGGGCCGGGAGCCTCGGCAGCGGCACACAGCGAATGCGCGCGAGCGGGACCGCACCAACAGCGTAAACACAGCCTTCACGGCGCTACGCACGCTCATCCCCACCGAGCCGGCCGACCGCAAGCTCTCCAAGATCGAGACGCTGCGACTGGCCTCCAGCTACATCTCGCACCTGGGCAACGTGCTGCTGGTGGGCGAGGCCTGCGGCGACGGGCAGCCTTGCCACTCGGGGCCTGCCTTCTACCACCCGGCTCGTGCGGGCAGCCCCCCGCCACCGCCGTCCCGGGACAGTGAGAACGCGCAGCCCAAGCAGATCTGCACCTTCTGCCTCAGCAACCAGAGAAAGATGGTGAGCGCGGGTGGCCAGGGCCACCACCAGCCCACACCCGCCGGGCAGAGGGGCAAGGCACAGGGCTCCCCTGCAGGAGTGGCGCAGACAGAGCCCCAGCCGCACCTGTAACCCAAACCTGGCCGACTTCAGGAGCCCCAGGCCCAGACGGGAGGGAGAAGCTGGGAGAGCAAGGCTAGGGCCCCCTCCTCCCGAGCAACCCCGACACAGGCTCCTGCAAGACTGCGGGGAGAGAGCAGGAGGTAGGGACAGTCCAGCAGGGGCCACCCAGGGCCATGTAGGGGTGTGGGGGAAGGACCGGGGTGGGTTCAAGCAGCTCTGGCCACCCACCTGGCCCCCACAGGAAGGGGACTCTGGGGGCAGTGAGAAGGGGCCCTGGGGCCACTGCACAGCTCATGGCCCTGCGGCCTGCCCCCAGCTAAGGCCTAACAGGCACCTGCTGACCCTCCCCTGGTCCCCCCCCCGCACCGTGGCCCAGGGCTCCGTGCCCTCAGGCACTGGGCCTCTGGGGGCTCTAGGCTCAGACATCCGGGGGCCCTCCGGCTGCCAGGGGGCTGGGGGGGAGGGCAGGGGGCCGGGTGGGGACACGCCGCGGGGATGCCGGGGGCTGTGATTTACAGCCCCGCTGTACTTGGTGGCACCGGAAAGGCAGGGTGAGTGGGGAGAAAATACGGCCCGGCTTTTCCCAATCCCCATTTCCTCTCCAGACAGCACAGGCAGGAGCTCCTGGGGCCTGAACATCTGGGAAATTTAATTTTACAATTTCGGCTGTACAAAGTGCCCCCCAACAACTCCACGAGAAAACTGGGGCATCTGCAAAGGGGGCGTCTCAGTGCCTGCTCCCCGCACAGCACCCAGTGGGAAGAGCTGCAGGGGGGCCGCAAAGCTGGGCTGGCCTGGGCTCCCTGTCTACCTGACCCCCCCCCCCACCCGCAGAGCAAGGACCGAGACAGAAAGACCGCGATTCGGAGCTAGAGGCTGACCAGCCGGCTCGGAGGTGGCCCGCTGGGGGGAGAGCCAGGAGAGCCCCCACGGACCCTCGGCAGGACCCTCCGCGACCGCCCAGCGGGCTGGGGCAAGGACAGAGGGCAGCCAGGCCAGCCCAGTCCAGCTGGAGCGGGGTTGATGGAGAGACGGCGGAGGAGGCAGCAGCAGCGGGACTCTGCGCCCCGGCCCTCACCCAGGCCGCCTGGGACTTTCCCTGCTGGCTTCCTACCCTGGTTTTCTTCTGGGTCACTATGCTTTAATATGATAATATAAAGTCTGGAAATTTTGTATAATTAAAAACAAAACCGTACCTTCCAGGCATGGAGGTGCTGTGTCCTCTTAAACAGTTCCGGCCCATGCTCCCTCCCGCCTCTCAGGCAAGAAGCATTGTAGAGCAGGTGCCCATCCTGAGAGGGGTGGGGGCGGGCCCCGGACCTGGAGACCGGCCAGACTGCCCTAGAGCCCGAGAGCCGCTGGGGCCCCTGTGCTTCAGGCAGTGGGCTGAGTGAGACTGGGGAGGGGGCAGAGGGCCAGTGGAGAAGTGAAAGGCGAGTGACGGTGATGAAGGGAGAATGCACAGCCCCCACATGGGCTCAGCCGCCAGAAAAGGCAGTGGCCGGGCAGCCCACCTAGGGTGGCAGGAGAGCTCAGGGGCCACTGACAGCTGAGGGCAGAGGCTCCGTTCTCCACGCTGGCAGCCTGTCCTCAGTGGAGAAGCAGGGAGACTGGCACAAATGGGCACCCCTCAACCCCCACCCATGAGGGCCAAAGCATGCCCCAGGCCAGGGGCCTGCCCAAGCCCAGAACCCTTACAGCAGTATGTCCCCCAGGGCCGGCCTCAGGCCACGCTTCTGGTCAGAGCCAGGCCTGGGCCCATCCTTCCCCACAGCTCACCACCCCCAGTCCAGCACTCAGAAGCAGGGAGGAGGCTCTTTGAAGCATGTCCCCAGGAGCATGCCCACCTCTCTGAGCAGGGAGCACCCACTCACCCCAAGGGCTGCACACCCCCCACCTGGCTGCTCTGCCCTCACACGGACAAGCAGCCAGCACACAAGCCACTCTCCACCCAACTCAGCCTTCTCCGCACTGCCTGGGACGAAGGTCCCCAGGCAGCCCACCACTCCCCCACCAGCCCTCCCAGGCTCCACCCGCCCTCTCAAGGAGGGTGACAGAGGCCCCCCCACCACCACGTGCTGCGCACAGCTGTCTGGCCATTAAAAGTCCGCAGGTGACAATTAGTTTGGTGATGTGAGCTCCACAGGGCACCGCAGAGAAGAGGGCAGGTGGCCCCCACGGCCACCCCCTCCAGCCCAGGTGGCAAAGCCTGACTGCCGGGCGGGTGGGTGGGGGTGTGATGCAGGCGAGCACCAGGTGCAGCCAAGGCAGCTCCCCAACGCTGGCTGGCAGCTCCCCAATGCTGGCTGGCAGCAGGGACAGCGGACTCGGCTCCTGAGCCTCCCTCCAGCCCCCTGAGCAGGCTCGGAACTGGCCCAGCGGATCAGAACACAGACAGGGTGCCTCCCGGAGTGCCACAGCTGAACCCCGGCCGGACACGCATGCCCACCCCCCGCAGCCCCACTCCTCTGCTGGGACGGGGCTCCAGGGACGTGCAAGGCAGGAAGCAGCGGCGTAATTTCGGAGGAAATTCTCAAAGCCAGAGCCATTAAGGGCTGGGGGCTGTGTCCAATCTGATAGAAATATAACAAGACAAAAACCCTAATGGCTGGCTCCATTCGGAGAGAAACCCAACCCCAAATTTCCTCTCCCTAATCCTGCAGGAGCCCACAGCTGGTGGGGGCGAGGGGCAGTCACGGTCACCACAGAGGCCCCCGCCTGTCGTCCCAGAGAGCCAGGCCAGGGTGAGGGAGAGGTACAGCCAGGGCGGAGGCAGGTACCCCGGCTCTTCTCACGGTACTCTCCCACAGCACCCCGCCCCAGCCTCCTCCTGGGTCCCTGGGCACCCAGGCCAGCGGCATGCAGCCACGTGGGGATGAGGTGGCAGGAGGAAGCCCCCCACAGGGTCTGCACCAGCCTCCCCAGGGGCCACCCAGGATCTCCAAGCCCATCCCTACTCCCCATTCACAAGCCACACACGACTCAGGGCCTGCCTCCCCCCACAAACTGAACAGGACAGAGGCCCATGGGTCACCATGGATATAGGTTCCAGGAGAACAGAGCCCACTGAGAAGACAAAGTCTCATGCAGAGGGTGCAGCCCTGGTCCTTGCAGCAACCCCCAGGCCCAACTGGAGGGGCAGTGACCTTCGGCCTGAGGCCCCGGCCCAGGTGCGGAGCGAGCAGTGCTGGAGGTGGCACTGGGTGCTGATGCAGGGACCCCAAGGAGCAAATGTTGGAGGGGAGAGGTGGTGGGAAGGGAGCCTGGAGGTTCTAGAAAGGTCTCCAGGGCCAGACAGGAGGGCAGGCATGAGTTTGCTGCAGAGTGCGAAGGTAAGAGCAAAATCAAGACATGCCCAGGGGTCAGGAGCAGCCTTGAGCTGAGGCCCCGAGGCAGACGCGGGCCAGGCCACAAGGACCTGTGCGGCCCGGCTGATCAGGGCTGTCCTCTGTGCCCCGGGGCTTTTCCACGGCTGCCCAGCCCTGTGCTGTGTCGGCCCAAGGCTCCAAAGCAGCCGCAGCTTGGCAGGAGCGGGCGGGTGGGCCACGGCCCAGAGCTCCCAGTAGCAGCCGAGATCCCTGGCAGCCAGCAGGAGAGGGAGGGAGGGAGGGGGCGGGAGAGGAACACTCTGTCACCCTCCACTGCTCCAGAACTCGAACCAGACGTGGGGCAGGGCCGCCCCGCTGCCCCAGTGTCCACACAGCAGTGAGCAGGGCCACAGGGCCTAGGGTGGCAGGTGCTCCCTGCCCGGCTCGGCCTTCCCCGCCCGGGCACAGGGACACAGCTGGCAGCACTCAGGACCCCTGCGCTCACACCCCAGAAGGGGCCGGGAGTGGGGGCCACCAGCCGCCCTGCAGCCGCCGGGCTGGGCTGGAAATGCTCTCGGCCTCAGCTGTCAGCTCCCTGTCCCCGGCCGGGAGCGAGCCGCTGGCCGCAGCGCATGATTCATCACTGGCCGCCCGCGCCCAGACCAGCACCCCCGCCCTGCTCGGCACCTGCAGCTGCCAGGAAAGACATGTGACCCCCCCGGGCGCACGGGCCGAGGACCCCCACCCGGCAGGCACTGTTCTCGGGGACCCCAGGCCAGACCCAGCCAACGGTGCAGTCAGCCCGGGACCGGGTCCCCTCTGGGGGGCCGCCACGAGGATGAAGCTCGAGGGATGCAGCCAGCCAGGGGTCCCACACCACCCACCGCTGCGTGCCCCCCCCGGACGGAACCGGACACAGGCCAGCGACTGGCTGATGTGTCGGCTGGGATTTTTCCGCTCTCGATGAGCTCTCTCCCCTCCCCCTCCCCAAAGTGGCTGCAGCTGTCAGGACCACAGATTGGAAGTGCAGGTACGGCCTGGCCGGCTGCCCGCCCCCGGTGTCTGTCTGCGAGAGAGGAAGCCGGCCCACCTCTGGAATCCTTCACTCTCTCCTCATTCCCGCTCCCCACCTGTCCCCCGGGAGTGCGGGGTCAGCCGCCCTCGCTGGTCCCGCTCTCCCTGCCCCTCTCCGATTACAATGCAGGCAGTGTTCCCGCGTTCCCCCACTGCACGCGGCCCCTCTGTCTCCCAGCGCCACTCGGCCTTCCTGTGCCTCCTCTCCTGCTCCTCCAGCGCCTCTTCATCTCTGTCAGATGGCGCAGGGCAGCAGGCAGAGCAAGCCGGCCGCGCCCAAGCTCACCTGCAGCATGCCATCCACAGAAGGTTCCGGGAGCCCGGGCTGACAGACCACGGGGGGGAGAAAGCCAGGTCCTGCTCGGCCTCTTCCCACCCACAAAGGCCAAAACCAGCCACAGGGCCCCGGCCGGGACAGAAGAGCAGGCCTCAGCCCGCCAACATCCCTCTGCACTCAATGCCCGTGGAGCCCACGAGAGCGAGCACCACCAGCCTCAGACCCCGCTGCTGCCAGTGGAGATAGCATCCCCCCCCACGGGGTCCCTGCTCCAGGGCCTCAGATGCCCCAGACCACTGGCCCACTGCCCACACCACCCTCCTGAGCCCCCCCACCAGCACCCCCACCCACTTGTCCACCCCCACTCACCCTAAGCCACCTGCTCACCCCAACGTCCAAGCTCCCACCCAAGGGTCTGGCCTCCTGAAAGCCTTGCTGAGCTGCAGAGGCCTGTGTTGAGGCCCTTTCTCAGACACACAGAAGTAGCTGCTTCACGTTTGGGGCTCCTGGAGCTCCTAATTGTTCAGCCTCCAGCTCCACCCCCAACCCCAGGCACCCCCAAAGGCTCCCTCTGAAGGAGCTCTCAGCCCCGAGCCTTGCCCCACACTCAAGCCCTAGCTGTGCCACCCCTGCAGCCCGCTCCTTGCAGGATGCAGGACCCGGACCCACATCCCGCCCCAGCACAGGCCCTACCTTTCCCCACAGGACTTCCTGGGGCAAACCGCTCCCACCCCTTGCCTGGGTTCCCCCTGCCCCACGCCGGTGCCCCCTTCCTCACACTGACGACTCCTCCCAACCAGGGCCAGAAACAGCGCAGGGACAGCTCTCAGGACCAGCAGGCCTGGGTGGACCCAGCAACCACAGCGGGCGCAGCTCCACCCAACTCCAGCTCACACCCTGGCAGGCCCCCCAGCCCGGTACAGAGAGGGACGGGCAAAGCACTGTGACGAGCTGCATGTGCCATGGCCCCCAGCCGGCCTGGGGCCTCAGCGCCCACCCTCAGGTGCCCAGGCAGGTGGCTTCGGCCTTGAGAACGGCACACAGGCCCACCCTGCCAGGGGGAGGGCTAGGTCCCACGGTGCCGGGCCAGCATCCCCAGCGGAGGGCGCGTGCTGCTGGCAGCGGCAGGGAGGACAGGGCGGATTCAGGCCCCAGAGGCAGCAGGGCCAAGCCGGCTCTTCCCAAACAGCAGGGAGGGCGGCTGCTCGAGGGCTCAGAAACCTGAGCCGCAGCCGGGCTGCCAGAGCCCAGCTCCCCGCTCACCCCCGCTCCCAGTCGGAGGGCGTCCAGGCGGGCGGGGCGCAGGAGGAGCCGCCAGCACGGAGGCAGCTGCCGTTCAGTAGCCGGGAGAAGCCATTAACGGCGTTTGGCCCAAGAGCAGAGGGGATGGCGGGCTCTGGATGCAGACAGGCCGGCTGTCCCTGCGGGCTCCGGAGTTACAGCCGGGCCGGGCTGGGGGACCTGGCGGCCAGGGAGGCCAGGCAGGCCAAGTTCACAGCCACGTGACCCTCACCCTGACCCCGCCCTGCTTCCTCCCTGCACACGCCCCCGCAGGCCGCTGGGCCTCAGTTTCTCCCAGCTGCTCTGCACAGAGAGGAGGCGCTGCTGCTGGGAAGGCTGCCACCCCTCGCCCCTCCCCTCGCCCCCGGCCCACCTCCCTGGGGGTCCCGGCAGCGGATGAGATCACGTCTGTGAAGCGCGCCACGGTGTGGGGAGGTGTGAGGTGGACGTGTGGGGGCGGGGTGGACAGCAGGCGCGGGCCTGCTCCTGGGGGGCCGCCCCCGGCTCTGCAGCGACAGGACCCATCCTGCAGCCCCTCTCTCGCCCGCCCAGAGTATGAGTTTGGGGGATGGGGAGGAGGAGGAAATGAACCAAGTGCTCTGTGAAGGCCGGTCAGTCTGTCAGTCCGGGGGTCACCCTAAGTAAGGCCCCAGAGTCCCAGCTGCCCCCAGCCCCAGCCCCCCTCCACCTGCTCAGACCCAGGCTAGGTGAGAGAAGAGGCTAGTGGGAGAGGGTGGCCGTGGGACCTCCCCCACAGGACCCCCCAGCTGCGTTCCCTACTGCTTCTGCTGAGCTCATTTCTTCCAGAATAACTCGCCACTGGGACCCCCAGCCCCACCGTGGGCCGGGCTGTGCCTGGTGGCCTCTGGTAGGGTGGGGCAGAGGCGAGGCTGTGCAGGGCCTGGCATCAACATGCCAGCGCCGCCTCGCCTGTCTGGGTTTCTAGGCTGCTGTGCCAGCGAGCAGGGAGAGGCCAGAAGAAGGGTCAAGTGCGTAAGTCCCAGCACTGTGGCTACCACCCAAAACGCACCAGATGCCCCCTCCCCAGCAGGAGCCCAGGCCTCCAGACACACACCTTCGTGCAAGTGGGGCCCAGCTGTGGGTGCAGGGGTGCACCCTGACAGTGAGGCAGCCCTGGACCGGGGCCTTGTGGGCTGGGCACTTGGTTTGGCGGAATGGTGGTCCCAGATCCAGGGGGGGCCTGGAGGGCAACATGCCCGGGCTGCCTGCCAGTCCACCCCAGGGCATGCGGCCCAAACGCCGGCAAGGGATGGGCCCGTGCCGCCTGCACCCGGCCTGTCCCCCATGCTCACGGACTTGGGGAGCAGCTGCGAGGCCCTGGCCTGGCTCCTGAAAGCTGAGCTCTGCCGCCCCCTCGAGCCACCGGCCGGCTGTGCTGGCGGGAACCCGAGAGGGGTGGGGGGGCACCGAGGCACGTCACTCAGTCCCAGCACCATATGGGATACTCATCACAGGAGGAAGTGCCCCCCCCCACCTCTTCCTCCGCCCGGCAGGCTGCCCACCGTGCCCCCTGCAGTGCCGCCCATGGGCTGCCCCAGGACTCCTCTTGAGGGCTGGGGACCCGCCCCCTCGCCTCCGCCACACTTGCGATCATCAGTGACTTCTCACAACACCAAATATAAAAAAGCAGCCGACAGGATGTGGCTGCTGACGGCCAGGGCCCCTGGGAAGGGGGATGGGGAGACGGGCGGGGGCTGCGCTGCACCCCCTCGCCGCACGCTCTCCGCTCCCGGCCAGGAAACCAATTTATTTTGTTTTGTCTCTGTTCTCTGAACACACAGCAGAGCCCGGATTGGGCGGAGGGCCAGGCCCGTGCAGCCGCTGCCAAGAGTGGGAGGAGGGAGGCCGAGCAGAGGGAGGCACATCCCCAGGGCCGCAGCGGGGCCTTCCCAGGTAAGCGGGAAGGGCTCCAGAGGGTGCAGCCTGCCCTCCAGCTGCCCCAGGCCCAGGCGTGCCCAGCACAGGGTGGCAGCCTGGTCCACGATCACCATCGCTGTACCTGGGCTCCAGCTCCCAGCCCCTCCTGACCTGCCAAGGGGCAGCCCAGACCCAGATCACTGACATGCAGCCTCAAGGCCATCGCTCCCGGGCCGAACACACCTCCAGGGCCTCCACATCTGCCCAGGGCACCACTCCGACCCACAGGACCAGCCACTGCATCTGCTCAAGCAGTGAACCTCAGCTCACCCCACAGATGGGCAGCGTGAGCCTGCCGGACAACCCAGGGTACGTGGGGGTGAAGAAGGGGGTGCCATCTGTCCAGCCCCCTCCCCAGGGTCCCAGCAGACCCCAGCTGTGCGCAGGGAAAAGCAACAGGCAGTGACACATATCACCGAAGTCGTACATCCCAGACCCCAAATTGCTTCTCCAGAAGGGTACTGCCCCAAGCCAGGACGCCCACTAGGGCTGCTGCAGCCTCGCCAGCCCCCCACCCCGGCCCACACACCGGCCTGGTGCCAGCCTGGCTCAAGCCAGGACCCCCCTGGCAGAAGGCTCCACCCTTCCACAAGCCCCACCTCCTCATCAGAGCTGTCCTCTGCATACTCGTCCTCCGCCGGAGTGCTCACCACTGCCTCTGTCCTTGGGGAGGGGGTGCCAGCCTGCAGAGAGAGGGAGCTGTCATGAAGGGGGAAGCAAGATGAAGACCCAGGGTCCCAGAAAGGGGAGTACTTGGGAAGAAGCCTCAGCAGAGGGTTCCCACGGCTCCGCAGGGCACCCGCCACCCCAGCCCACGGCCCCGCAGGGCACCTGCCACCCCCAGACCCCTGATGAGCTCCAGCCTGGCCACGGCCAGAACACACCAGCTCTGAGTCTCTTGGGGGGCACTGCCGGGCCTGACACCATTCCAGCCCCAGGGACACAGACAGCACTTCATCTGCTCCCAGTCTCGCACATGGAGCTGACCCCGCCAGGCTGCAAAGGGCATGGCCAGGTCACACCATCTAGTAACGGAGCCCCCTTCCTGTCCTCCCCCGCACAAGCTGTGACGTGAACACTGGCTGTGCAGCCCTGCTCCAGCAGCCCCCACGCTCTCCCCGCTCTGGGCTCAGACCCAGAAGGGGAGACTGCAGCCCACAGGCGAGGCAAGGCCAGGGCTCAGGCAGAGCAAGCCTCCACCTGGGCTGTCCCCACCTGGGCCAGACCCTTGCCAACACAGCAGCCACGCAGGGCCGTGCCGGACACGTCTCAGGACTCGGGAGAAAGGGGCACCCCCTGATGTGCACACCAGCCTCCCTCTGGGTCAGCGGGTGGCACTGTGAGCGCTCACTCTGACCTGGAAAAGATTCCGAGGTTCCCGAGGAGGACGGGGCTGATGGGAAAAGCAGCCCACTCCCACCCCAGGGCAGTGAAGCGCCGGCAACGCCCCAGCCCAGCAGAGCCCCCTCCTGCCCAGCGGCGCTGCCCGCCTGCTCTCCCCTCGGTGCTCAGCAGGGTGGGTGGTTAAGTCTTTTTCCAAGAGAGATTTGGTTTCCACATCAGCCTCCCACGCTGCCCTGCTCACCCTACTGCGCACGTGGGAGGCTGCCGGGAGCCCACCGCAGGCTCCTGACCCACCCGGCCTCCAGGTGCCAAACCCTCATGGGGAGGCGAAAGCTGCCGCAGCGCCCCAACGGGGCCCACCGGCTGCCACCACACCCACCTGTCGTCCAGCACGCGTGCACCCCACACTACAGGGCAATATGCACCAGATGGTGGGGAGCAAAGGAGGGGTGCGCCATGTACCCCATACTGCAGGGAAAATTGTCGGGATCAGGGAGGAGTGCCCTATGCGCCCCACACTGCAGGGCCGCATGCACCCGATCGTGGGGAGCCAAGGAAGTGATGCACCATGTACCCCACACCACAGGGAAAACTGTGGGGACCAGGGGGGGTGTCCCACGCACCCCACACTGCAGGGAAAATCGTGGGAATCAGGGAGGGGTGCCCCATGTGCGCGACTCTGCAGGGAAAATCGTGGGGAGCAGAGAAGGGTGCCCCGTGCACCTCACACTGCTGGTCGGATCCTGGGGAGGAGGAGGGGTGCCCCCATGGACTTGGCGTCTCTAGGGCAGACCTCGCACGCGGCCCTGAGCAACCCTCCTCAGGGTCCAGCAGGAAGAGGCTGCAGGGCCGGCGGCGTCCGCCAGGGGGCAGCCGCGATGCCGCAGACGTGGAGGCTCCAGGCCAGCGCGCGAGCGGGGAAACCCCTTCCGGCTTCGGAGACCGCGCTTTTCAGTTGGGTTTAAAAAAAGAAAAACTTAAAAATTAAGGAAAAAAATCAAAGGGCATTGACACCAGAAGTTAGGCAGATGCAGCTATGACCAGGGCCAGCCTCCCTTCGCACCCACCCAAAGGCTGCCTCACCCCGCTGGCGAACGCTGGCTGGGGCACGGAGTCAGGAGGCTGTGGGTTGTAGGCTCTATAGGCAGGGTTCCCCACCCAGATTCAGGACAGAGGGGATAGGGGCAGGGTGCCAGCTGGTGGGGGGTATGGGGCCTCCATCCACAACCACTGGCCCCAAGCCTGTGGGGCTGTGGCAAACCTGGGGGAAGGGGCAGGGGTGGGGAAGGGAGAACCCCGAGACCCCGGCTCAGAGACTGAGCCGGCTGGGGGCCAGGAGGCAGAGGCCGGCTGGCAGGGGGCAGGTGTGGGACAGGCACGGAAGGGGTGCCTGCGGTGGGGGGGGGGTTGTCAGCAGGGAGGGGAAAGGCACCCCCAGGGGCCAGCGGAGGACCTGGGAGGCAGGCGGCAAGACGGGCCTAGAGAGCATCCAGGCAGGGAGACTCTGGCTGCAGCAGGCCTCCCAGGCCACCTGCCCCCACCCCCTGCCCCGGGGGGATGGGCAGGGCTCCCGCGGAGCCCTGGACTGAGCCTGGCAGAGACTGACGCTCAGGGGCTCTACCCAAACACCCCCAGAGACCCATCAGGAAACCCCCAGGTGTGGCGTGTCTGCCAGCAAGTGGGCACCCATGACACCCACAGGCTGGGCTAGGCTGGACTGGGCGGGGAAAATTAAAGATGCTTTCGAGCCCCCCACCCCCCAGCCTCAACCCTCAGGGAAAAGAGAGGGACCCCCTGGGCAGAGGAGCTGCAGTCCTGACCCTGCAGAGTCCACACCAAGGACACAGACACAAGAGGCCACTCTGGGCCTCCACTGAGTGTGGGTTCACGAAGACCTCCCCTTCACGGGGGACCTCCCCTTCACCGGGGACCTCCCCTTCACCGGGGACCTCCCCTCCACCGGGCCTGTGCAGTGGGAGGCGCTGAGCTACCTTCAGCCAGCAGGTGGAGGTGGTGCCTTTAAACATGGCTGCAAATCTTTTGACTTTCCTCCCACCAAGAGGCGAGCCCCCTAATCTGGGGGCTGGGAGGCACTGGGGGCACCACCAAGGCAACCAGGCGGCTTTAGAAGACAGCCCCACCACCAGCTGGCTGGTCTGGACCTGACCCAGGCTGCTAGCCTCACCCCGACCAGGGGGCTGCAGGGGCCCACCCTGGAAGGGGAGGGTAGGACAGAGAAGGCTGGGCATTTACTGTGTTGGGCTGCGGCCAGCCCCTGAGTGGTACAAACAGTGAGCGTGCTTGGCTACTAACCAAAAGGTTGGAGATTCGAGTCCACCCAGAGGTGCCTCAAAAGAAAGGCCTGGCAATCTACTTCCAAAAATCAGCCATTGAAAACCCGGTGGGCCACAGTTCTGCTCTGACATACATGGGTCACCTTGAGTCAGAATCAACCTGAGGGGCACTGGTTTTTATGGTTGGGCTGTGGCTAGTGGCCCTGCAGTGTGACCAAGCAAAGGGACCTGGGTGACCAGACAATACAGGACATGCTGTGAGGGCACTGTTACAGAAATCCAAGCAGAGAACTGAGGCGGGACACGCACTACCCCCTGCTCGGCAGGGGACCGGGCGCCATGCTGGTTACACCCAGCTCAAGCTCCGTGTAGCTCTGTGCAGCCCTTCCTGGATGCTCACCGCTCAGGCCTGCAGCCGAGAGGGACCAGCCCTACCCCTCTACCCTCACCACACATCTTCCCACATCATCTGAAATACCCAGACACGTCACCTGTTTTAAAGAATCCAATTGAAGGGAAACAACTTAAATCTAAACACGTGGATTTCTTCACTGAAAAAGGGGGGAGACCAGGAAGGCATCTGTTACACTATCAGTCGTTGTTATGAATTCTGTCCTGTCCACCATAAATAACGTGTTGTAAATCCTAACCTCGGAGTTGGAATCGATTCAACGGCAAAAGGTTTGGTTTTTTCAGGGTATGCCTGTGGTTATAATCCCATTTGGGAATGCGCTGTCTTTGTTATGTTAATGAGACAGGATTAATTTAGGGTATATCTTGAGTCAATCTCTTTTCAGAAATAAAAGAGAACAAGCGAGCGGAAGAGAGATGGGGGAAGAGAGATGCCAAGCCACGTGAAGGTGGTCCAGGAGCAGAAGCTCAAAGAAACAAGGACCGTCCTCCAGAGCCGACACAGAAAGAAAGCCGTCCCCTAGAGCCAGCGCCCTGAATTCAGACTTCTAGCCTCCTACACTGTGAGAAAATAAACTTGTGTGTTAGAGCCAGCCACTTGTGGTGTTTCTGTTACAGCAGCACTGGATGACCGAGACAGCCGTGCTCACCAGCTGGGGCCAAGGGCACTGCAAGAGACACGCTTATTACAGAACATACTAACATACCATCAGAATCTTCTTCAGAGAGGGCGCATTTTGTACTTTTAAAAGAGAAAGTTTCCCATGATCCTGCAAGCCAGAGCCAGCACAGCGTACCCTTTCCCAACGCGGACGAGGTGCCCCACCATGGCGCCATGCACACCACGGTCAGAGCCAGTCCCAGGGAGACACAGACGCTGACGACGTGGACTCTGGCTCACAACCTCCTCTACCTTAGCAAACCAATCAATCCCAGTTTAACCAGCCACAGCGTTCTTGGCGCTGTTACGGGAATAGACTTCTGTACGAGTCAAGGCCATGACTGCCAGAACACCAGGCCCATTTGAAGTATAAATTGTCATAAACTAGTTTCTAGAACTTTTAAAGCAGTCAATTTGCATTCTGTTAAACTAAACTAAGCTTTTCTCCCACTTTCCTTAAAACATGGGTGGGGATCAGCCCTCCCCGTCATTACAGCAAGGGGTACGCCGGCACCCACCCCTGGTCCCAGCTGGACTCCCGGGGGTCAGCTGGGCTCTGTGCCCTCTTCCCCAGCCCACTGCTCTGCCCACTCCCTGCGAGTGCCCTGGGCTGGCACACGAGCCCCACCCCAGGCTCTGCTTAGCCAAAGTCTGGCAGGCTCAGGAGAGTTCGCCCTTGTCCTGTGGAGGTGACGAGGTTTTTCCCCAGTGACTGACATCCACTGTGGCTGGAACCAGTGCTCTGGAGCTTGGCCACCCCACCTTCAAACAGATGGCTGCATCTGGCACCAAAGGTGCCCCAGGGGCACTGAGAAGGGGCACCCGTGGGGTTCCTGAGGAAGCTGTGGAAAAGGCAGGCACAGCCTCATGGTGAGCCCCAGACCTGGCAGGCACTGCCTGTTCCTGGCCACCCGGCCTCCCCAGTGGCCCAGAGGAGGCCCCGCCCACCCACCTGTGGCTGTTTCTCAGTGGTCTTCCTCGTCCCACCATGGCCTCCATCACTGTGGGCCCCATCCTCACTGTCGTCCTCACTGCTGTCACTGCCAGAATCTTCTAGGCCGGAGAACACGCTCTCCTCACTGTCAGAGAGGCCAGAGTCACTGGTATGGATGCGGCCGGGAGCAGGGCTGCAGAGGGGAGAGGGCTGCAGGGAAGCAGAGTGTTGGTTCCAGCTGAAGCTGCCCGCCCGCCCGTGGGTCCCTCGCTGAACAGGGAGACACAGCAGAGAGCAGCTCCTCCAGGCACCGCCACCGCTCTGAGCAGCAGCAAGGCTCCACCTCCACCCAAGCCACCCAGCCCAACCCAGACCCTTCCCCTCTCCCACCTCCATGAACAGCATTGCCATTCGCCCTTGAAGGGGCATTTTACTTCTGAACATCTCAAGACACAGAGACTTCTAAAGGACATCCTCTCCTCTTCTCAGAGCTTACTTCTCACTGCCGTCCCCAAACCGGCTTTCCATGCCAACTGAACCCCCTACGCCTCACCCTGACATTCGACGCCCCAGAGCCATGAGTGCACTAGGAAAGGGGCCAGGGGACAGCTGACAATCAGAATCCACGAGGGACTCTTACCACCGGAAGCAAAAGCCTTCTCATCCCATGAGATGGGGACCGCCAGTCAATCAGTGAACTGAAAATGTTGGTTAAAGAGTCACAGACGCCACTGCTCCCCGGGCAGAGGTCTGAGGCTGGGGAGGCACAGGGGGAAATCCCGGCGTGGCCTTCCCTGCGGGACAAGGACGCAAAGGCACCCCGGAAGCAACCTGAACGCAGAGCCCTACACCCACTCTTCGTCGATATTTCACAGTCATCGCACGCGCCATAGGGCAGCCTGTGTTATCAGCGGTCCCGAGCATCCGACTTCATTTCTGCTTTTGTTTACCAGCAGTTTCTAGCACCCAACTTTGTCTTCACAGACATGACCCTCTCACACACTCACACTGTATCTCTAACGTTTTGATAGCTACACATCACAACAGCAAGTAGAAATGGCATGACCTGGTTTGGGGACAAACACACTGACTCCTACCGAGTGCCCGGGCCAGCGGACGGCTGCAGCAATGCCCTAAGTGGAGCGCTGTCAGCTGGGGCTGGGGGGAGCAGCAGCAGAGGGGGTGCAGCGTGAGTCTAACTCACAAAGAGAACGGACAGCTTCCACCAATCCAGCTAAGTGGCGTCGGCTGTGAGAGGCTCGACGGGATGTGCCTCTGAGCCCCAGATTTGAGGACACTGGGAAGCAGAACCCGCAGTGGTTTAAGTTGGTCCAGTAAAACATATCCGACGCAGAAGCCTCTAAGGCAGACTATCTACTGGGCTCCACTTAGTTCCTCGTTCTCATGTCCTCTCTTCTTGGTTGTAATATATCTAATGGAAACCCTAGTGGCTCAGGGGTTAAGAGTTCGGCTGCTAACCAAAAGGTCAGCAGTTTGTATCCACCAGGCGCTCCTTGGAAACCTGATGGAGCAGTTCTGCTCGGCCCTATAGGGTCGCTATGAGTCGGAATCAACTCGACGGCAACGAGTTTAATATACTTAACGTATTAGCCTAATAATACAAACAAGTAGTGCATAAACAGGTGTTTACTGGGGGAGCAAGCCCAAACTTTTTTTTCAACTTTCATTTACTTGTTCTTGTTGTTGAGAATGTACACAGCAGAATACACACCAATTCAACGGTTTCCACATGTACATTCAGTGGTAATGCTTACATTCGAGTCACGCAACCATTCTGACCCTCCTTTTCTGAGTTGTTCCTACTCCGTTAACATATCCTCACTGCCCTCTAAATTCCCTATCTAATTTTCGAGTTGTTGTTGCCAATTTGGTCCCATATAAATAGTTCTTAAAAGAGCATAATGCTCAAGACACACATTTTTTACTGCCTAAGCTAAACTATTGTTTGGTTTTAAGAAGACTTCACGAGATATTTTTTATTTAAGGTTTAAAGATTATCTCAGGACAATAGTTTCAAGGGTTCATCCAGCCTCCAGGGCTCCAGAAAGTCTGGAGTCAATGAGAATTTGAAACTCTGTTCTGCATTTCCCCCTTTTTGATCCGGAATCTTTCATCAAAATATTCAGTCATGGTAGCCGGGCACCATCCAGTTCTCCTGGTCTCATGACAAAGGAGGCAGTTGTTCATGGAGGCAATCAGCCACACATTCCATATCCTCCTATTCCTGACTCTCCTTTTTCCTCTATTGCTCCAGGCAAATAGAGACCAACTGGTGTGCCTTGGATGGCCATGTCCAAGCTTTTAAGACCCCAACCACTACACAGAGAACTAGGACTAGGCGGCAGTACGTAAGAAGAACTAAACAGTGATCTGAGCTGCCTGTGAAACCATGACCCTAAGCCTCCACCTAAGAAACCAAGTCCCAGGAAGTGTCCGTACAGAAGCAGCCTCAGCAGCTACTCTCTTGTCATTGTTGTTCAAATGTTCCTAAGGACAGGGTGATGCCCCGCCCTCCACTCCCATCCTTCTCCCATTTCGCTTCTCAGACACTGTTCTCCAACCCCACAGAACTGCTCCCAATTCCAGACCAGCCCTGAGTGCAGGCTGTCCTCTCTGCCTGGACCCCTCCCTTGCTGCCACCTCCACCAAAAGACAACGTCCGATTCCCACGACCCCATTCCTAGATTCCTAGCTCCCCCACGCGACTCAATCCTCGCTCCCAGCTCCAGCTCGACACACAGGGCACTTCTGGGCGGGCTCTCCTAGCTGTGTGCCGGCGAGGTTTGCTTGAACGGCCATCAGTACCATGCCCCAACTAGAATGCCACTTGACACCAGAGCAGGACACTACGAGCCGGCTGTGGAATTAATACTGAACCCCACACTGCTTAAGGGAGGTGGCTGTCCCATCGTACCTGCCCTGGGCTCACCTGGCGCGGTCCTCTGCAAACAGCAGCCCGGCATAGACACCCTTTCAGTTAAAGGAAAACCCCATCCCCGACCTTCACCTCCGACGCCTTCGCCAACCCTGGCGCCTCCTCTCCACCACCCGTTACGTCGATGCCACCACATCCACGGAGGATGGGCCCAGCAGCCTCAGGGCAAGCCGCACGTGCGGCCGCGTGGGCTCGGCCTCGCCCGCCCGCCGCCCCGGTGCGCGCCGTCACCTCTTCTTGCTCCTGCTCCTGCTCCGGCTCCTGCTCGGGCTCTCGCTCGGGCTCCGCGGGCCGCTTCCCT